CGGGACCTCCTGAGTCATTTCATTTCTCAAATCCTCTACAGCTTACCACGTGCTTTTATATCCACACCCACGGTACAGTATAACATGTACTCAGCCAAAATGAACTGAGCTTCAGTGATGGGCTGGGCATTGGGCTACGATGATAAGCAACAGAGAAACAGACACGAAAAACAGTTAAAAAATACATTCATAATTATAAATCGTGGTCAAGATTTCCATTTCTAGAAAGCCCAACAACCTAGATATGAAGTGCATGCCACCTCTAGGACAACAGTAATTCTGATTTCAAAAAAAATTAGACTTTAAAAATGTGTAATAAAGAAAGTAAAAAAACAAGGGAAATCCCTACTCAGATTAGCAAAGACATGAGAAATATGTAAGAGGCACAGAGGGGCTGGGCACGGTGGCTCACGCCTATAATCCCAGCACTTTGGGAGGCTGAGGCGGGTGGATCACTTGAGGTCAGGAGTTCGAAACCAGCCTGTCCAACATGGCAAAACCCCGTCTCTACTAAAAATACAAAATTAGCCTGGCATGGTGGTGCATGCCTGTAATCCCAGCTACTTGGGAGGCTGAGGCAGAAGAATCGCTTGTACCTAGGAAGTGGAGGTTGTAATGATCCAAGGTCGTGCCATTGCACTCCAGCCTGGGCAACAAGAGCAAAACTCCATCTCAAAAAAAAAAAAAAAAAAGAATCATGGAGGATAGGTGAGTCAATCTATAAAATATCTCACAGAAGGTGATAAGAGCGAATGTAGAGCCAAGCTTCGTGGCTCACTCCTGTTAATCCCAGCGTTTTGGGAGGCTAAGGAGGGCAGATCGCCTGAGGTCAGGAGTTCGAGACCAGCCTGGCCAACATGGTAAAACCTGTCCCTACTAAAAATACAAAAGTTAGCCAGGTGTGGTGGCACAAGTCTGTAATCCCAGCTACTCGGGAGGCTGAGGCACGAGAATCGCTTGAACCTGGGAGACGAAGGTTGCAGTGAACCGAGATTGTGCCATGGCACACCAGCCAGGGCGACAGAGCAAGACACCATCTCAAAAACAAAAACAGAGTGAATACAGAAAAGGCAACACGAACATTCATGTAGACACCTCCCACTGGTTCTGTTTCTCTGGAAAACCCTGACCCGTGCACCACCTGACCCTTTATGACCTTCATCCACCGTGACTGGACCCCACAAGCCTCCCTGCCGTCATTCCCACACCCCCTCTTCATACTCTCAGAGCCCTGCGCCTGGTCGGCTCCCCAAGGCAGGGGCAGTGCCTGTCTGCTTCACCATGGCACCACTGGGCCTAGCTCAGTGCCTGGTACCCTGCAGGCCTCAGGAAATACTTGATCCATGCATGTGTGAATGTACCACTCAGTGAATTTGGAAAGCCACTCCTTAGTTCCCACACTGGAAACTCTCTTCCTACTTCTTCTTCTTTTTTTTTCTTTCTTTTTTTGAGACAGAGCCTCACTCTGTTGGCCAGGCTGGAGTGCAATGGCACAGTCATGGCTCAGAGCAGTATCGACCTTCCTGGGCAGAGGTGATCCTCCCACCTCAGCCTCTCAAGTAGTTGGGACTACAGGCATGCACCACCAGGCTCAGCTGATTTTTCTTTTCTTTTTTTTTTTTTTTTCTTAAATAGAGACAAGGTTTCACCATGTTGGCCAGGCTGGTCTCAAACTCCTGGGCTCAAGTGACTCACCCGCCTCGGTTTCCCAAAGTGCTGGATTACAGGCATTGGTCACCGTGCCCGGCCCTCTTCCTCCTTCTTTGCTTAAATCCTTTCTTGTCCCTGAGGCCTAGCACAGGCTACCTTCCTCTTCATCCTCACACCGTGGAAGCCTCATGAGAGCAGAGACCACGTCTGCCTTGTTCGCCGCTGCAACCCTAAGTCTTGGTCTGGGGCCTGGTACGTGGTAGATGCTCAATAAATCCTGGTTAAATTAACGCAGAATAAATGCCACAGCAGTAGGATATTTTTATTTTATTTTATTTATTTTTTTGAAACGGAGTTTCACTCTTTTTTTTTTTTTTGAGATGGAGTCTCACTCGGTGGCCCAGTCTGGAGTACAATGGCACAGTCTCAGCTCACTGCAACCTCTGTCTGCCTGGTTCAAGCAATGCTCCTGCCTCAGCCTCCTGGTAGCTGGGACTATAGGCACAAGCCACCATATCCGGCTAATTTTTTGTATGTTTAGTAGAGATGGGTTTCACCATGTTGGCCAGCCTGGTCTCGAACTCCTGACCTTGTGATGCGCCCGCCTCAACCTCCCAAAGTGCTGGGATTATAAATGTGAGCCACTGCGCACAGCCAAGTTTCACTCTTGTTGCCCAGGCTGGAAGGCAATGGTGAGAGCTCAGCTCACCGCAACCTCTGCCTTCCAGGTTCAAGCAGTTCGTTTGCCTCAGCCTCTCAAGTAGCTGGGATTACAGGCATGTGCCACCATACCTGGCTAATTTTGTATTTTTAGTAGAGACAGGGTTTCACTATGTTGGTCAGGCTGGTCTCAAACTCCTGACCTCAGATGATTCACCCGCCTCGGCCTCCCAAAGTGCTGGGATTACAGGCCTGAGCCACCGTGCCTGGCCAGATATTTTTCAAATGTTAACCTCTATTTTTCCCTCAGGATTTCCTTTATTCCTTTTGCTCTTACCTTTTCTTCAGACAGCAAAGTATTTCTGTGCCCAAGCCTCAGGGAAGGACGTGACAGCTGAGGACAAAAAAAAAAAAAAAACGCCATGTCTCTTGCCTGGATTTGCAGGGTCAACTTGGAGAGAAGCAGAAGGAATATACAGAAAGAACAAAACACTTGGAGGAAACCATGAGACTTTTTGCTTTCCAGGTTGGAGAACGAAACTGTCATAAAGAAGAGAACTGAAGAGAAAACACCCAGATAACAGATGGAGGCGGTTCTCAGAGAAAGAAGCTCTGTCCCTGCTCATGGAGCACCTTGTGTGGGTTGGAAAAAGGCATCCCCTCTGGGTGCACAGCTTGGGAACTGGAGCACAGTCCGCATCCAGCTGTTATTGCCCCCTTTGGTCAGTCACTCACGTAGAGCGCACAACCCATACAACCATACAGAGCCACCTGGCACAAGCCCTGCAGAGTCCTAGAGGAGGAAGAAAGAAAAGAAAAAGCTCGGACAGGTCTGTGGCCATGCCTCACATTCTAGGCAGGGACCTCATGGGGCAAGAGTGTTTCAGGGAGGAGGTGGTCCCAGGCGAAAGCAGCCACAGTTTCCTCTGCAGAGGATCTGAGAGGAGGACCAGGTGGGTGCAGTAGTCCTGAGGTCACCCTTGGGGACAGATGACAGCAACCACCAGATTGCCACCTCCCCACGCACACACATGACAACTTGGCACACATAAGCCCCTTGCAATCAACCCCAAAGGACAGAAAAATCTCAAATAAACTGAGATTAAGTATCTGCCACTCAGGCACAATGAAGATTCAAAAGAGAAGTCCCCTCGAGTCACAGGCACGCACGTGCGTGCGCGCACACCCACCCACACACACACACACACACACACACAGAATAAGCTCCATTGTGTGCACATACACTGGATTTTTTTTTTTAGTTGCTGTGCTCAGCAGACATTGGTTGTTGAATGGATGCTGAATGAATAACAAGCAAGGGTGCATCTCCGCATCCCTAATGGGTTCTGCCCTGATTTAATTATCAGCACACATCTGTCTCCCTGACTAGACTGTCAATGGCTTGCCGACAGGGACCCAGTTTGTTCAACTTTAAATCCTGCACACGAATCCTCTGCAGAGCTGCTCATTGCCTGAGTGTTCAATTGAATGACTCGCTAAGTACGTGGAATTTTTCTCCAGGCTCCAAGATCAAAATGCTCCCCTCACCCTAAACTCCCCTCCTTCCTCTCTCACCTCTTCAGAGAGCATACGATTTCCCAAGGCCTGGCGCAGAAAGGAACGAGGTGCCCCTTTAACGCGGTTGTTTAGTGCCACCACACAGCCTGATAAATCAGTGTGCTAGGATTTGGGACATGTCCGAATCCACCAGAGGAGCTGTGCTCTGCCCAGCAGCCGTGAGCCTGGGCTTAGTCTGAGGTTTGGGGCAGTGAGGTCAGGATTATCATGGGGTAGGGGACAAGGAGGGCTGGGCCCCGAGATAGATGCTTAAGGGTAGGGGGCTCAAGGTTCCCTGTTCTGGGAGCCACTGAAGATTTATGATGCCCAGAACATCCTAGAGATGGTGCCCAGAGTCGTGGTGTCACTCGGGACCCTTGTGGCTTGGGCACCTGGGCCGTCCCAGCCCACCAGGCCCTTTTCCAGTTTCCTTTCCACACCCTGTGCCACAGCCTGCTCCCTGGCTGCCTCAGTTACATGCCAACCTTTTCTTCTTGACCCTTGAAGCAGCACTTAGATATTCCACCCATGCGCTCTGCCTTTGCAGATAAGGATTTTGTCTCCCAGCCTGTGTTTGTAAATTATTCCCCATGTGTCTGTCCTTTCTCAGTGGCCAGAAGGTCAGCAGCTGCCACTGGCTGGCTGCCCAGCTGTCTTCCTGGCTGCCATCCCTGCTGCCTTCCAGGCCATAGTTTGAGTACCAGCTCTGCCACTTACTAGCCGGGTGACCTTCCCATGTTACAGAAGATGCTGCAGCCATCATGACGATCCGTTCCCTGGTCCCATCCCTCTCCTCTGGGTTCCCACAGCCCGGTGCACTTGTCACTCTCTCCTGGTATTGCAGAGGTCCGTTCGCTGCCTCCCCCACCAGGAGAAGGTGATCCCATGGCTCAGGCCAAGGCTGTCTCCTCCATTTCCCCATGCCCTGCACTGGGCCTGCATTTGAGTGGTGGCCTAAGGAGGATGGGCTCCTGTCCCTCTCACCCTCCTGCCTCTCCTCCTCCCCTTCTCCTCTTCCCTGAGGCTTTCTGCACACACAAACCCAGGATGTGCCTTTCCCCCATTTCCTCCTTGATACTGGTGCCAGTGGGGGTGTCACTTACTTTAGGAGATGAAAAATGCCAGACAGAGACTGAGGTGTTGCAGGGTGTTTTATTAAAACCAGGTGAGTCACCGCCACACATGTTCCAGATGCTCAAATGCTTCCCCAGCTACCCTGCCCGGCTCAGATCTCCTCCTCACGGGAAAGGGACATTCTGCTGTCTTCAAGGGACTGGTGATGAGTCAAAGACTTGTTACTGTCAGGCATAGTTAATAGCTTGGATTCAGGGTTACAGCCAGTTTGGAGGTTGGAAGAAGTTAGGGTGGGATTTAGAACAAAGGACAGTGAAGTCCGACCTAAACCATGCAGAACACGGTGAGCCAACGGCCGCTCCCAGCTCCCGGGTGGTGACATTCCACGGGGAGGCCCACTGCTGGGCACGTGAAGCCAACTTCGGCATCCCAGCCCCGGCCCATCAGCTTCTCCTCCTGCCCACCTCTACCAAACAAAGCAGACACTCAGAAGCAAATTCTACAAGGCTACTCGAGATCAGACCCCGCCCTTCCCTGGACCCCGGGGCCCAGGTGGGTGGGGGTGGGGGCAGCAGAAGCCTAGCCCTGGAACCCCAGCTCCTTGTACTTGGCGGCCATGTCGTTCCGGAACAGCTCCAGCGCCTTTTTCATGGCCCCCTGGGCATCGGCACCAAAGTCTCCAGGATGCTTTTTCTGCAGAACGTGGACGATGGCATCCGAGATGAACTGTATGCAGGGAGGGCGAGGAGAAAAGCTGGTCACCGGGGTGGGACAAACCAAAAGCCATATGGGAGTCAGGTAGCCTCCCACTTTCTCTTTATTCCAGAACCATGTATTGAGCACTTTCTTTTCTTTTCTTTTCTTTTTTTTTTTTGAGATGGAGTCTCACTGTCACCTTGGCTGGAGTACAGTGGCACGATCTCAGCTCACTGCAACCTCCGCCTCCTGGGTTCAAATGATTCTCCTGCCTCAGCCTCCTGAGTAGCCGAGATTACAGGCATGTGTGACCACACCTGGCTAATTTTTTTGTATTTTTGGTAGAGACGGGGTTTCACCATACTGGCCAGGCTGGTCTCGAACTCCTGACCTCGTGATCTGCCCACCTCAGCCTCCCAAAGTTCTGGGATTACAGGCATGAGCTATCACGCCTGGCCTGAGCACTTTCTATGCACCAGGTGAGATTCTGTGTGACCTCCATGGAAGAACCCCTTTGATCCCCACCACCATCATGAGATAGAGACTACCACTACCCTCGATTTACAGATGCAGAAACTGGGGCGGGGGGGGGTGGTAAATGGAAGGGGCATTTAAGCCCAGGAGGGCCGGCTCCGGAGCCCACACTCTTACCCATGGCCCCCTCCATTTCTTCAGGACGTGGACCCCACTGAGGCCAGGTGAGAGCTCAGGGCACCACCCACATGGTGGCAGGGGAAAAAAAATGGAAATTCTCAGATTTCATTACTGTATTCAGGATTTTGCGATCAGAAATTCTAGAAAGGAACTATTTCCATTTGTGTGTATGCAGTTTCTGCACTTAATGACTTGGTATGGTTATTGTTTTAAAGACCCTATTTTGGGGGCACAGCCTTCTATTTTTTTATGTCAACCATAGAAACACTGGTGGGAGGGAAGGAGAGAGAGGAAGAGGACAGGGATGAGGCCCACGGCCGGCCCCCAGCATGGAGAACTTCTGCTGTCAGCGTCAGCGTCGGCATTTGCTTTGGTACCCACAGTCTTATTGCCCGGACAACCGAGATGGGAATGGGAAAACGGAGAGGCAGCGTGGGGCTGCTTTAGGGATGGAAAGACCGTGGATGTGAAATGCTACTGTGCTTTCTCAACAGTTAACCAGATTTGATCCCAGCCACAGCCCAGGCTGGTGCACCAAGGAGTGTCATTTCACAGAGGAGACAATCAAGTGGCCAGACTGAAGTCATGCAGGAAGTGAAGGACAGAGCTGGATTTGCGCCCAGGAGGCTGTGGACGGGCCACTGCCAGAGCTGGGAACAGAAGCAGCGGCCGACCCGAGGCTGGGTTTCTCGTTTTCTCAGGTCCCCAGGGTGCAAGTGACATAAAGCAGGAATAGTCAGGGATGGAACATGCAAAGGGAGGCTCAGAAGCATCAACACCCCGGAAACCCCTCTGCTCGGAAACAGGGACCGCTCCACAAATGCCTACCTTTGGGCATCGAGGTAGATACCTCACTTCACCTTCCATTTCATTAATGTCACAAAACTAAATAGGGGATCGTGGTGTCAGGAAGAAAGCCCAGTCCTTAGAGACCTTGGGAGAACCAAGTTCCAGGGACACCTCTGCTCCAACCCCATGTGTGACTTCACCCACCCGGATGACCTGGTTGGACCCCCAGCTCAGATGTTCTGGATCAGTAGCAGAGCCACTCATATCTACTAAAAAACTGTGGAATGGGGCCACTGCATAATTGAGAAATGAAAACACCGTCAGCACCCACCACCCTGTGCAGCTCCTCAGTCCCTCTGAGAGACGATCTGTCCACAGGTGAGGTGGAGACCATCTTATGAAGGGTGTGGAAGGAAGGGCCACCATGGGAGAAGCGCAGACACCTGGGCTCTGTCTTGATATTTTACAGAGATTATGCATCAGATTTCGTGTGTTCCAGTTGGACCTGGGTTCTGGTGGCTAACTGGCTGTGATACTTTGCCAACATGGGTTTTTCTCTCCAAGCCTCAGATTCTTCCCCCCTAGAGAGAGAATTCAGTCATTGGAAGTGTATGGTGAGCCTGTCACATGCCACTGGGACACAGAAATGGTAGCCCCTCAGGAGCTGAGTGCCCACGGGGAGACCGCCAGGCAAGAGACAAATTATAACACACCCTGGCAGTACTCTGGCTGGGAATGAGGATAAAGTGCCACAGGGCAGGGAGGGGCTGGCAGATAGAGTAGCTGATTGCCCTCATGGACCTGGGGGCCCAAGGGGAGGAGGTGGCTTCTGCATTGGGCCTTGGAGGATGAACAGGGATTTGCAGAGAGAAGATGGAGAGGCAGGGATGACCCCACGTGCAGAGCGGTCTGTTCACACTGGGGATGTGGAGTGCAAGGGTTGAGGCCACAGAGAGGTGGTGGCGGCTGTCAGCAGGTGATATTGTGCCACAGTGGATTCAGAACCTGGTTCCAGAGTATTATAGATCTGACTGTACCTCCTGGCTTATCCGCTGTGTGACCTTGGAAAAGCTACCTAACCCCTCTGAACTCCCAGTTTCCAAATCAGCAAAATGGGGGTGAGAAAGGCACCTGCCTGGGGCAGAGACTGCTAATTACCATCTCCCCCTTCTTGCTTGGTAACAGAACACTGGTTGTATTTGGAGGGGTAGTAGGCTACCTTTCCCAGCCTCCCAGGCAGACAGGGTGCTCTGTCTTACGAAGAGCGTAACTTCTGGCCAATGAGATGAAAATAAAAGCACTGGATGAGATTGCTGGGACTCCTTACACTCCTCAAAAGAGAGCATTCTCCTGCTTCCAGTTGAGAATATAGAAGAAATGCCTGGAGCTATTGCAGCCATTTTGGCCATGAGGCAGCTTTGATGCTAGACATGGTAACAAATGCTCACAGTAACAGCAGTTAGGGGCTGGGTGTCTGTCGTAATAGACACCTGCGTTTGAACCTTGGCTATGCCGTTATCCATCTCTGTGACCACGGACAAGCTACTTAACCGCTGTGTGCCTCAGTTTCCCCATCCATCTATCGAGTGAATATGATAATGGCACCTACCCATGGAGAGGCTGCAACTGTGCACCCAATATCCCCTCTCCCCTTCCTCTTTGGAAATAAGATGTGAATTTGGCATATTAAATTAAAGATGCTGAATGTGTTCATTCTCAACGATCCCAGGAGGAAGGCAAAGTGGGTGTCAGTCCCCTTTACAAAAGAGAAACCTGGGGCACAGAGCAGAGTGGTATAGATCATCCCACAAGTTAGTGGCTGAGCTGGGATTCGAACCCAGATCCCATTACCCCACCCCAAGGCCTTCCCACCAGCCTCCCACCCACCCAGGTCTGCCTCCTACCTCCAGGTACTTGACGGGGATCTTGTGCTTGGTGGCGTGTGACTGTGCCAGGGGCTTCAACTCCGCCTCATGATGCCCTTTCTTCTTCAGGATGCCACCCAGAGCAGTGAGCACGGTGACGCCATGCTTCTTCAGCTCCTCAGATGCCTTCATCTCATCCTCTGATTTCAGATGCTTGAACTTGTCAAACTTCTCCAGAGTTTCAGGGTGACCCTTAAAGAGGCTGTGGGCACAGAGAAGGCTGGAGTCAGACATGGGAAGCTCAGCGTGAGGTCGGGGGGCAGCCAGACTAGAGTTCAAGTTCAGCTACCCGTCTTCCCAGCTGTGTGACCTTGGGCCATTCACTTCACCTCTCTGTGCCTCAGCTTCCTCATACAAGGAATGGGGATAACTTGTCCCGTAACTTAAAGGATTAAGTGAGATAACGTGTGCTATGTACCAACAGGGTGTTGTCACACGGTGAGTGTCACACGCTATCATTATTCTTATTATCATCGTCATCTTCTTTACTATGAGGGGAAGGAAGGAAAAAAGCATCTTTGCATTGCTCGCTGGCCTCACTCCAATTTTCCCCAAGTTGCCTAGAGAGGAAATGGCTGAGTGGCATCGTGGATGGGCCAGGAGCACTGAAGCTGAAGGACCCTGGACTAGATGAGCACCTACTACATGCCAAGTTCCATGATAGACTTAACTTGCGTTTTCCTTTTGAGTCATTCATATTATTCCCATTTTACAGATGTGGAAACAGAGGCTCCAAGGCATAAAGTCACCTGCTCATTATTGCAGGGGCGCCGTCCAGAGAAGCCAGGCTGGAATCAGGTCTGAGTGACCAAAACAGCAGTTGTGGTCCACGCTGCGACCATCTCTGCAGCTTCCTGCCTAGGGATTGTTCTTCAGCTGCTTAAAAACCTCCAGCTACAGGAGGCTCACTCCTACCTGTGAGGGCCATTCCACTCCAGAGCAGTCCTCACACCCAGAAACCCCTTGCTTGTTTGGAGCGCAGGCTGTGACTCTCTGAACCTCCCAGTCCCCTCACTGTGCAGATGGCGAAGTGCCCTGGTGGGAACAACCCGACCCAGCCCTTCCACAGACCAGCACCCACTCCTGCCAGGCACGCAGTGAGGTGCCCCAGGGGCCTCTGCTGGGACTCTGAGCAGCCACCTCCAGCTTTAGACCTCATCCCTTTTCACTATGAGCAGGTGAGTGCTGGTTAAAGAGAGTCAGACTTGCCCTCCGGGTAGGAGTGAGTTTCCCCTTTTCACTCACAGAAGACCACGGAGAGAAGTGGCTTGCCCAAGGTCATGTGGCTGGTCAGTGGCAGAGCCCAGACCCAAACCCAAAATGGGACAGTTTCCTATTCCCACCCTTTCCCTTGTGCCACAGCCTGAAATGTTTGCAGGGGCAACCTGTCTGCCCAGGGCTTCCTCTCCTGTCTGACGGTTTCAGTTCCTCGAAAAGCTCCTCTTTCATGGACTCCAGGTTCCATGACATCCCTGTAGCAGTACACAGCATGTACTGTGGCCACACTCCAGCTTGCGCCCTGAGCCACCCTGCCCAGAAGTGGTCACAAGGAAGCACCTGATCCCTGCAGTCTCTATCCCAGGGTTTTATGAGGAGGATATTTTGTGACCAGGACACTGAGCTCCTCAACCTGAGAATGAGTTCATGGGTTTTTTTGTTTTTTCTTTTTTGACATGGAGTCTCGCTCTGTCACTCAGGCTGGAGTGCAGTGGCAGGATCTCAGCTCACTGCAATCTCCACTTCCTGGGTTTGAGCGGTTCTCCTGCCTCAGCCTCCCGAGTAGCTGGGACACAGGCAGGCGCCACCATGCCCGGCTAATTTTTGTATTTTCAGTAGAGAGAGGGTTTCACCATGTTGGCCAGGCTGGTCTCAAACTCTTGACATCAGCTGATCCACCCACCTCGGCCTCCCAAAATTCTGGGATTTACAGGGGTGAGCCACCGTGCCCCGCCATGAGTTCATGTTTTTTAAGAGCCACCTCTGTCCAACGATCTCCTCTTCAGCTTGTGGTCAACTAAAGCCCCCAGCTCTTCTTCATGAGACCTGCCATAGCTTCTCGTCCTGTCATCGAGCGGTTGATGACCCGTACTCCTGAACTGCAGAATTTGCATTTCTCCTTCCTGTTTTCAGCCCCCTATTCCAGGCTCAGCAGCCTAGTTCGGATGTCACCATCAGAGATGGTTTCTGATTTTGCGTGAAAGCACTGAATTGACACAGAGCACTGCTGAGGGTGTGAGTATTTTCAGTGTTTTGCGTGTATTAATTCACTGGGTCCTCATAGCAACCCTGGGAGGTAGATACTATTATGATCTCGCTTAAAAGAAGAAGAAAAGGAAGAGGGGACGCCTCTTTGCCAAGGTCACAGTCAGCAGAAGGAGAAGCAGGAAGCTCAGCTGCTGTTCTCTGAAGGACAGAGCCTTGCGTTTCCCTTTCCTTCCTTATTTCTTCCTCAAGCACAGGGCAAGCACGAGACACAGGGCCCTTCCTTCCTTCTCCCCACAGCAGAGAAGAGAAGGAAAAGTTGGAAGAGGTTTTATCATCCTGGCCCAGTGGGTTTGGGGCTGGGCTCACACCCCGTCTCCATGTTTGTATCAGGACACAGGCGATCTTGGAGCAGGTAAATTGCTGATGTTATTGACAGGACACATTCCTTATTAGGAATCCGGGATCCCGCGACTGGACGGACTTTGAGATCGGCGATTCCAGCCCCTTTCCAAACACACAATTATTTTATCACCCACAGAAACACACTCTCAACACCATCCTCACACGCTTCTTATTTGATCAATAATCAGATCTCCCATCTGGAAAAGCCCTAATAACTTGCTACGTTCAACTTCGAATATGTACACACAGGCACGCACAAATGCACACTGCGTTAAACAGAGGTGGCCGGGTGTGGTGGCTCACGCCTATAATCCCAGCACTTTGGGAGGTGCAGGCTTGCGGATCATCTGAGGTCAGGAGTTCGAGCCTAGCATGGCCAACATGGTGAAACCCCATCTCTACTAAAAATACAAAAGAATCAGCCGGGCGTGGTGGGTGGAGGGGCACCTGTGATCCCAGCTACTTGGAGGCTGAGGCAGGAGAATTGCTTGAACCTGGGAAGCGGAGATTGCCATGAGCCAAGATCATGCCACTGGATTCCAGCCTGGGTGACAGGGAGACTCCATCTCAAAAAAAACCAAAAAACAAAGGTACTAGCAATACTGACTCTTACCAATGTGACGCTTACTTTACGTTCACAGTGCGGACATATGTTAACTCATTTTAAAAGCCTGATGGGGTAGGTGCCATTCTGCAGAGGAAGAAACAGAGGCACTGAAAGACCGACGAGCTGGGGAGTTAACCCAGACAATCTGGCTTCATGTCTACACTCCTGATGACTCTTCAGGCTTTGTTATTGTTATACAAAGATATTTACATGCAAACTAATACCTACACGGAAATGTATCAACACCTCACAAGCGTACGTGCGTGTGGGCTCTCACAGATGTGTGTGCACATTCACATGTTGGCCTGCACCCTCACACAGAAATACATGTAAATATCTCCCAGCACATGACACACACACACACACACACACACACACACACACACACATACAAGCCTGAACCACATACACTCCCTTCCCCCATGCTGGGCATGGTCCACCACCATGCCAAACTTTGCCACCTCACCCCAGGATCCTGTCCAAATCTTCGTGCGTCACTGACAGCTTGTCTCTGACACCTTTAGTCCAAGAATCCCTGAGCTCCTGACTATTATTATCTGGCGACAATGATCCTTGAACTCCCGCCTGACAGATGGAAGACCGGGCACGCACAGGCGATGGCCTGAGGTCAGGACACTGAATGGAGACTGTCTGGGGCAGAACAGTGCCAAGGATTTGGGAAGCAAGGCAGCTGGGAGTCTCCAACATGTTAGGACCCGCTCCCCACCCCTCCGATATCTACGGAAGAGAACAAAGAATGGACAGTTATGGAAGTGAGTTCTGGTCCCAGTTCTGGTGCCAATGTGCTCTGTGAGGTGGAAGTCGCTCAGCCTCTCTGGATCTTGGCTCTTCCATATGTAAACCAAAAGGTTAGGTCTAGATGATTCCTCCAAAAGACTCACCAGTGCCTTTCTTTCCACTCTCGGCACCAGACAGCCAGGGAGAGAGGCCATGTTTACTTTATTAATATTTTTTGGGGGACAGGGTATTGCTCTGTTGCCCAGGCTGGAGTACAGTGGTATGATCTTGGGTCACTGCAGCCTCGATCTCCTGGGCACAAGCCTCCTACCTCAGTCTCCCGAGTAGCTGGGACTACAGGCACACACCACCACGCCCGGCTAATTTTGTTTATTTTTTTTGTAGAGAAGGGGTCTCACTATGTGGCCCAGGCTGGTCTTGAACTCCTAAACTCAAGTGATCCTCCCACTCTGCCTCCCAAAGTGCTGGGATTACAGGCCAAGGCACTACACCCTGCCCCAGATTTACTTTAAACAGCAGAGGAGAATTGGGCTAATTTGTGGCTGCCAGATTATTCCAGCACACACAGCTGCCTGCCTCCTGTGGACCCAGGCCTTGCAGCTAGGAGCGCCCCCTACAGGCAGCCACAGAAGGCCCTTCTCCTGGATTATTTGCCTGATAACAACAGCCACCCAGAAAATGAGCAGATGGAAGCCCCTCACCCTGTGGAAACGGACAGAGGGCATTTCCTCTAGTATTTCAGAAAGCCCCATTTGCCTGAGTATCCAGCTTCAACCCTGCTGTCGGTGAGCTTGGTTCATCAGACACATCTTCAGGCTAAGTGAGAGAGAAGGGAGGTCATTTTCCTGCTGTTCTCTGAACTGAGGCCCAAGCAGACACCCACATGAAACATGGAGCACATGCTCAGATCCATGAAAACCACCCCTGGCTCTGCTAGAGTAAAAGAACCAGACTGTGCATGGCGGTCCATCTTGAGTGTGGCAAGGTCATGGGCAGAATAGCATAGCGGTCAAGAGCAAGGATTCTGAGCCCGGTGCGTTGGCTCACGCCTGTAATCCCAGCACATTGGGAGGCCAAGGCGGGCAGATCACCTGAGGTCAGGAATTAGAGACCAGCCTGGCCAACATGGCGAAACCCAGTCTGCACTAAAAATACAAAAATTAGCCGGGCGTGGTGGTGCGCACCTGTAATCCCAGCAAGACTCGGTCTCAAAAAGCAAAGAGCAAGGACTCTGGATCCAAGCTGCTTGAATTTGAATTCCAGCTCCTCTCTCTATTCTTTTCTGAGATGGAGTTTTGTTCTTGTTGCCCAGGCTGGAGTACAATGGGGCCATCTCGGCTCACTGCAACCTCCGCCTCCCAGGTTCAAGCCATTCTCCTGCCTCAGCCTCCCAAGTAGCTGGGATTACAGACATGTACCACCACACCCAGCTAATTTTGTATTTTTTTTTTTTTTTAACTAGAGATGGAGTTTCTCCATGTTGGTCAGGCTGGTCTCGAACTCCCGACCTCAGATGATCCGCCCACCTCGGCCTCCCAAAGTGCTGAGATTACAGGGGTGAGCTACTGCACCCAGCCTCCAGCTCCTCTCTTACTTGCTGAGTGGCTTTAGGTAAGTTTCTTAACCGCTCTGTTAAATGTGGTGATCATAATAACATCTACCTCATCAGGTTACTGTCAGCCTTCAGTGAATGAAAGAAACACTTAATACGGAGCCCAGCGATCAGTATGTACTGAATAAATGGTTGCTGTCTTTCTCCTCCTCCTCATCTCTACCGACACCATGATCATCACCATCACCCAGGAATTTTCACTCCTGCCTGTGGCTGTCATTAACCAGTGGAGACTCTCAGGCCCAGTTCCTCCCTGTAATGAGAAGCAGTGACCATCAGTGGTGAGTTTTAAACATTTTATGGCCTTGAAATCCTTTGTTCCAAAACACAATGCCAACGTAAATAAAACAAAAAAGCTTTGCGTAAAGGAAGTTAAAACAGGAGTGTGGAGCTCACGCAGCAGCCCCCTGTCTTCTGAAGCCCCCACGCCTGGAGCCAGAATCTTCAGGTGGCCTTCCAGCTTCTGTGCTCTAGAACTTGATGTTCATGTACTCGCAGCAAAGCCCTCTGTGTTTTACAGACTGGGCTTCATGGAATCTGCCCTCTTTTACAATCAGAAGACTGGAGACATAACCTTTCAAGGTCAGGAAGAAAGTCCAGAGTCAGTATCCAGAACAGAGCCAAGATGCCAACTCCCACGGGGGTTATTTGCAGCTCTGGGCGTGAGCCCTCTCCACCCTGCCCCCCGGGAGGCCATCCTTCCTGTTCCCCAAAAACTGAGAAGGCAGAACCAGCTGGTGCGGTCTCTGCATGCCCCATAGCATAAGACGTGACAGGGCACCAGGCCTCTGGGACCTTCCAGGGGCCAGCAGTTCTAGGCATCATGTCTTATCCCTGGCCCCTGGCCCCTGGCAAGCCTCCCAGAATCTCCCTGATGACGAAACACCCTGAGTCTTCTTCAAGACGTCCAAGTCACTGCCTTAGGAATGGCAGCTCCCAAATCACCTTGGAAAGACCTCTGCTCTGCAAACTCTGGTCTCCTACCTCCATGCCCGACTGTCCTGTCTCCTCTCCAAAAGCAAAGGAGGATCTCGAATTCAGAGACTTCCAGGGCATGACAGTAGGATGAGATCTCAGAGACCATGGAAGACAATCCCTTCACTCAACCAAGAAAGAAAGAAGACCCAGAGATGGAGAGACTTGTCCAAGGTCACGCGGCAAATCGGTGGCCCAGGAGTTGATGTCAATTTGCGTGTGTGTGTGTGTGTGTTGTTGGGGGGAGCATTTTGTGCAATCCAACAGGGCCTGTTACAGCCAGCTCACAGTCACAAGAGAAGAAAGACAATGAACACACCACAATGCCATTAGAGTCAACGGATAACTCAGCCGTCCTTCCTCAAGTGTTTCTAGCAAGGACAGGGCTCAAATTTTAGATAACAGAGCTTCCAGGACCAGCCACGCTCCCGAGGCAGACAGAAGCTGCAAATGGGGAAAGCCCAAAAGAGACCCAAAGGAAAACTGAGTGGAAGAGGAGAACAGGCGCTGGCTCACCAATAAGGAGAAACGAATCTTCAAATTAAAGCACCAAAGACAATCCGATCACTTACGGCAAACCCGGAGCCCACTTCCTCCCAGGGGCAGAAATGTTGATTCATAACCCATCAGACTTTTGATGGAACCAGCCCAGAACATGAGGGAAGGGACCCAGAGAAGAAAAGAGAAGAGCGTAGAGGTGGAAGCGTTGGGATGGAAGGCGACGGGAAGATGAGAGTCTACACGCAAACCGCAGCCATCCTCTATTCACGGAACTCAGATTTTTGTTTTCATGGGTGTATTATTCCGAAATCCCCTGCAGTAAAAGGCGGGATATACTTGGAGACCACACCACTCCGAGCTCTTAGACTGGAGACATACCCAACGCCGAAGACCAGTAATGAGCCTCTATCTTCTGTACTCTAATTGCAATGCTTTGAAAGGTCCCCAGTCTGGCCTTCATCTGTAATAGCTGCTAACATCTGTAGCACTCGGTATATGCCAGGAACTACGCCAGGTGTCATGCATGCGTCATCTTATTTCATTGTCGCTTCTCCTCTAGGACACAGATACTAGGCTATCCCCCTTGCGGTACAGGAGAGGATATTGAGGCTCCGAGAGGTTCAGTACCCTCCCAGAGGCCACCCCACTGCTCAGTGGCAGATTCCAATCTAGGACCGGATGTGTCTCCCCGTGAAGGCCATCTCTTAGACTTGACACTTTAACAGCATTTCACACACTGCGACTCTGAAAATGTCCTCCCCTTCTAGTCCCTTTTTGTCCCCACCCTGTAAGAGAGGTAGCTGGACAAAGTCTCTCAGAGCCCTTATTAACTCTGACCGTCTGTAATTCTAAAATTCTTCCTGGTGGACTCTGAGCATCCAACGTTTGATTCCCCTGAAATGGATACCTTTCCCTCTCCCGAGTCCAATCCCTGACACTTGAAAGTGAAGAAAAAGCAAGTGAGGGTATTAACACCCTCAACTAATGCAGCCAACAGGTCTACCCCGGTGCACGCTTTCCACCCTTGATCTCAGGGTGTGGGTGGCAGGGGCAGTGGAATTTCCTCCTTTTACCTGATGAGGACTTCCTGCCCATGGCTTGGGATGTCAGCCTCCACCTTCCCCCAGACGTTCAGCACCAACTGCCACTCCCCGTCGCTGAGCCCCATGGTGCAGTCTGAAGAAGACAGAAAGAGCAGGTATGGGCTCACTGGGTGTCCTGGCCCCAACAGCTGGGGTTTGAGGCCGCCTGGCTCCAAGGGCGTTTTTATACCTTCTGGGGTGCTTGACAAAGATCACTTGATGGCTCGCTCTTCCCCTCCCCTGCCCTCCTTCTCTTTCTCTCTCTCTCTCTCTCTCATCCAGGGAGGGGTCTAATCTTTTCCTTTCTCTAGCCCTCACATGGGAAGCTATTTTGGGGCGGGTGCCATTGTGGCGAGGCAGGACAGCTCAGGCCACGGGGGGTGGGGCGGTTGTGCGTGTTGACAGAAGGGGAGGAGGTTGGGCACCGTCTGGACTCTCGGGGCAGACAGAAAGGGCACCACTGAGGCCAATGCCAGCAGCCTGAAACCCAACGCTCCCTGCGGTCAGCCCTCCCAAGAGGACCTGTCATGTTTCTAAGCTTGACCACCAGGCACCCCAGCTGGCCCCAGGACAGTCCTGGCCCTTCACAGCCTCTCACGCACCACTGCCCCTTTGCCAGAGACCCCTCACCCCGCCAGAAGTGACAGAAAGGAACTAGATGCTTTTGTGCTTATAGCCAGGTGGTCCTGGGCAAGTCCACCATCTCTTAAAGAATTCCTGGCTTCGTGACCCTGCCCAAATGTTTCCGTCTGAAAAGTTTTTCTTGCCATACTTCTTTGAGACACAACGAATTGCTTCCTCCTTTCCTTTCTTTGTGTGGGTTCCTGTGGCATGGCTTCCCAAGGGGCTTCCTATTTCCTGGTTTTCATGCCAGCTTCTCTATTAGGATAACAGCAGCCAGCACTCACGGAGACTTTGCTGGGTGCCAGGCCCTGTCCCAAACACTTGGCATTTGGTAACTCATTCAATCCCCCCAAGACCTCCCTATGTGATAGGTACTGACATTATCTCCATTAATTGAGAGGAAGTAGAGAAACATCACAGATGCACAGCTAGTTGCTGGCAGAGCTGGGATTTGAACCCTGGAAGCCAGTCTCCCTCATTTTATTTCAGGAGCTCCATTTTCTTCATCCCTGTAGCTCTTGGGCCTCACATAGTGCTCTGTGCCAAGTTTGAACTGAATAAATGTTTGTTGAGTAAACAGGTGAATGGTCTTGCAAAGAAAGTGAGTGGAGGATGATTAGTCTTATCTTCCATCCATCCCTCCTTCCATCCATCCACTTATTCATCCATCTATCCATTCATCCATTCATCCATCCAGCATCTTTGTCTATTCATCCGTTCACTCATCTATCCATCCACTCACCCATTCATCACCACCAATCCCTCCATTTACCCATCTGTTCCTCTATCCACCCATCCATCTATCCTCCACCCATCCATCCATCAGCTCATCAGTCCACCCATCCCCTCATTCATCCATTTATTATCACTCTCTCCTTCCATCTATCCATCCACCATCCACCAATCCCTCCACCTATCCATCTATCTGTTCATCCATCCATCCATCATCCATCCATGCATCCATCAACTCACTCATCCACCCGTCCTCCCTCCATCCATCCATCCACCCATCCCCTCATTCATCCATTTATTATCCCTCCATTCATCTCTCCCTCCCTTCATCTATCTACCCATCATCCCTCCCTCCCTCCATCTATCCTTCTATCTGTTCCTCCATCTCTCACTCCCTCCATCCATCCATCCACCCATCTCCTCATTCATCCACTCATTATCCCTCCATTCATCTTCCCTCCCTCCATCATCTATCTATTCATTTATCCATTCGTAATCCACCTATCCCTCCATCTATCCATCTGTTCATGCATCCATCCATCCATCCGCCCATCCCCTCATTCATCCATTTATGATCCCTCCATTCATCATCTCTCCCTCCATTCATCTATCTATCCATCATCCATCCATCCCTCCATCTATCCATCTATTTGTTCCTCCATCTCTCACTCCCTCCATCCTCCCTGCATCCATCCATCCACCCATCCCCTCATTCATCCACTCATTATCCCTCCATTCAACATCCCTCCCTCCATTCATCTATCTATTCATTTATCCATTCATAATCCACCTATCCCTCCATCTATCCATCTGTTCATCCATCCATCCATCCGCCCATCTCACAAACAGTGATAGACCACGTACTGTGTGTCAGACTCTGCTACATGCTGAGGACAAAATCGAATCAAACACATTCCTGCGTCCAAGACACTCAGAGTCTCTTTAGGGAGATAACTAAGAGGAATGAAAATACGGTACAGTTTATTGAGTGCTATGTTCGAGGTAGTCACAGGCCCTTCCTTCCATCTGCACAGGACTTTACAAAGCTCGTCCCTGGCAAGATTACATCTAGTTTTTACAACACCTCTAGGAAGCTGTGAGCACCACCCCACTTTATAGCTGTGGGAGGCGAGATTCAGAAAGGAGAAGCCAGTGTTTGGCCCGTCCCGGGTCTGCACTGGATGTGTGAGGAACGACTACCCCAGCTACACAGCTTTTTAAAGGTAACTGCCCTGCCCCACCCCTACTGAGGTGCAGGTGTAGCCAGTCAAGTTCTGGGGCACTCGATTCTCCCCCAGACCTGCTGCCAGTCACAACCAAGCTGAGAAAGCCGACGTCAGGAGCCACTGACTTCCTGAATAGTCAACGTCTGCTAGCCAGGAGAACGTGAACAGGGATGTCTAGTAAGAATCGGACAGGTAGGAAATGTAGCTAGAAAAAGAGTCAGATTCAAAGAACCCCAAACTTAGAGCTCCCCTGTGCAACTCCGTCAGAATGCCCTCTGTGTGAGTCTCTGAAGCCTGGCCCGTGACGTTGCTAGGATCGCCATGAGCCTCCACTCCCTGTAGGAGCCCTGTGTCTCTTTTCAACGAGTCCTGTGTACTGAGGCAGCTGACTCCTAATGACCAAAAGGGTCAGAGGCACTGGCTGCACATCTGGTGTCCCCTTCCCTGGTGACCATTCCAGAAGTCAACCCGGAATGCTAGGCCAGCGGACCCCCGAGGGCCCATCTCTTTAGCAGTGGAAGAAGCAGTAACAAAATGAGTAGTAGCTAAAAATGCCATGGTGGTGTCAACGGGGCTCTCATTCATTCATTCAGCCATTCATCTGTTTGTTCCTTTGTTCATTCATTCAGGCAACAGCCGAGTACTGAGGCCCCAGTCTGCCAGGCCCAGCCTCAGAAGGAAAGGCAACTTTGAGAGTGCCTGCCCCGGTCTCAGACCCTCAGAAGCTTTGACTCTTACTGCTGGTCACTCGCTGGGGGTGAGCCCAGGATGTGAGAGGGGAGGGCCGAAAGAAGGTGATGACACTGAGCTGTGCCACGCCTGACCCAGGGCCGCCTGCCCTGTGCACTGGGGAAGGCAGGGGGGACACATTCGAGACTCCTGGTGATTGAGTTGCAGGGTGCGGTTTTCAAATGCCCCGTGCCCTCCTGCGAGTCTCAGAACACCCCGAATGACTACTCGAATCCCAGCTCTTCTCCTATCTCTGGCCTCCTGAGTTGTCTGGGGACAGCCTGAGTGTTTAAAATCTCATCAACCCGTTACTGACGCTGAAGTGTTTAACATGAAGCTATCATCCGCTTGGCAGGCGCTCCCATGAACCAGCGTGCTCATGGAAACCTGTAGCTTTGAAGTCGATGGACCTTTTAAGTTTTACCATTTAAGCTAATGGGAAGGCACCGACATCTGTTTGTACTTACACATCTCTACAACAGAACAGTGTTACCTCGCAGTTGCCATGGCTACCTGGAGCCACCAGCTCTGTTTGGGGGCCATTATTATCCCCGTGGCAGCCTTCATTATGGCCGGGGCAGAGAAGCCGCAGGCGCATTATAGGAAAACCAGGCTGCCTTTGTGTGCAAAACTTTCTGCAGCCGTACACACTCATGCTGCACACACACACGCGCACACACACACATGCAGGGCACGTTAGTCTGACGGCCAGTGGGGAAAACTGGATCCCAACAAGTCAGGCCTCCTCTTTTTCCATTTCCTATCTCAGAATCCTTTGAATCCAAAACTGAGGCTCGCAGAATCATCCTCTGTGCTCCCAGTTCTGGACTCCCGAGATCCCAGAACTAAAATTCTAGAGTGTCAAAATCTTCAGCTTTTGGCCACCCGAGAAACTGGGATTCTAGATTCTAGACTCATAGAGAGCTAGAGGCAGAGAAGTCTAGAATTACAGGGCTGTAGCATCTTGTGGCTAAAAGAGGCCTTCCACGGTATTTTGTCCAATATCCCACTGAATGTAGTTTTCCCTGCAGATAATTGTCTGGCATCTGCTTGAATACTCCTGGGAATGGTGAGCTCACTACCTAAAGCTTCAAAAATTCTTTTTCATGTCGAACCAAAAGATGCCTCCACGTCACCGTCACTCCCTCGTGGTGGCTCCGCTGGCTCCTTGGGAATAGAGAGGCCCAGCTGAGTCTGTCTCACAAGAGAAGCAGCAGGCTCATCTAAGCCCTTTCTTGTCCAGACTGAACATCCCAAGACTTTCACTGAGCAAGGTGAGGCGGGGGCATCAGGCTGGTGGAGAAAGACAGGCTCTGAGATCTTCAGTCTCCAGCCACTGTCACCTCTAGTCACATGCACACAAAGAGAACGCTGTAGTGAGGGGCGTCCAGCACCCACCTGCACAGGTCTGAGCCCCCCAGGCAGCTGTGCACCTGGCTCCTCTATTTTTATGGTTAGAAAACCCAATCTAGGTGACCTGGGAATTTGCTAGCCCTTGGACAGGTGACAATTCCCCTCTGTAAATCTGGGATTAAGACTCCACCGGGGAAGAGCTAAGATGTGGCAAGAAGGAGTACTCTGGCTCCTCAAAGCCGGGAGTCCCCGAGGTCTCCGCCACTCCCTTCCTCCTCCTTCTGGGAACCAGCTTTTGCAGGCCAGGCTGGGCAGCGCCTCCCTCCTGCCAGCAGGCCCTCCCACCCCACTCCCAGCTTAGCTTGTGCTCCCTGGCAGAGTCTACCCTCCTGGACCAGCGCCAGGCCAGGACTCAGAGCAGAGCTGGGGCCTGAGGGTTGCAGGACCTGCTCAAGACCCTCGATGGGCCAGCAGGACCCCCACGCTTGCTCCAGACCCCAGAACCACCCCCCCCAGGCTGCTCCTCTCCAGCCCCTTAGGTCCATCATACTGACCACAGCTTCCCTTCTCTCCCCAGCTGTCCTCACAGAGCCTCCAGCCAAGCGGCCAGGACTGGGGGTGGGGAGAGGTGTCTTATAGCAGCCGGGGAGAGGCGCAGGGAGCTAAAAATACAGTTTACATGGCAAGGCTCCTCCTCTCCCTGCAGGCCCAGAGGGGCTTATTGGAGGAGGGCTGGCAAGAACGC